GTGGACCAACTTTGCCTCGGGCTTCCAAAGGGGGTTTTTGTATAGGAGGTCAAGGATTCAGGAAAATTTGGGGTTAGGGCTTTGGGGTTTAGGCCATCAAGGGTTTAGGTTTAGGGTTGTAGGGTTTTACGGATTTAGGGGTTTAGGAATAAAGGTATGAAGGGATTATATAAGTACACAGAGCGGAAATAAGCGTCTATGTAAATAAAGATAGAAAGGGGTTATATAAGTACACCTAGTGTAAATAGGAGCTTATGCAAAAAGCTATATACATGTATATCGGGGTTCAGGGTTTGCTGTATTAGTACATATACGGATATACCGAGATCTGTATAAACATGCGTATATGCGTACAAGGATACAACTGTTGTCAAGGAAACATGATGGGGATCTATAGGCTGATATAGGGAACAAGCAGGCAGAGGGCATATACGGACTATGAGGATATGTGGAGCCATATCGGGATTTTGGGATTAGGGTTTGGGGACGTTACCCCAATAATGGAGCCTCGACTGAAAAGGAGCATGGAACATGAAACGGATGTAAGTTGTTTTGATGATTTAAGGTTTAGGATGAAGCGGTCTGTGCTCCGGGGGCAAAAAAAGCATCCCAGCAAATGAGGTGCTCCCATGCACGGTTTGGGATAGGGGCTCAGCCACTCTACATCCAAGAAATGAGTTGGAAAATGTCATGTGCCCTAAACAGTAAGCCCTTGCAATCTACATGTTAAACCAAAACACTCCCTAACCCCGAGGACACCTTCACCCCACGTAGAGTGGCCACAGACCCTTAGATAAAATCTAAACACCAAAATGCTGGGTACAAAGCCCGCCATTTTAGGTACATACGTTGCTCTATCAGTGGTTCCCCTGCAGCCTCCCTCCCCGCTATACTACCAGACCTAGTCTGTTCGCCCTTACTTCAAAGGTAACTAGCCCTGATTACCATCGGTGACTCTACGTAAGCCTTGGTTGCTGTGAGGGCACTTTTTTCAAATTACTATAATAAGGAAACCCCATTTTGTACTACATACACCCAAATCATGATAACTTAGATCAAGTTCCTTAACAGCCACCCAGGATCTTGATTGTTTTGAGCCTGGGTACCTGTACATGCGGCTCGCGAAAGTAGAAGTCCAGGCCATCCTCGTCTAAACCTCAGTCTGGGACACATTATAGTATAGTATGATGTAGTGTAACATATAGGATACTTATTATAGTCTACTATAGTATAGTCTACCATAGTCTACTATAGTCTGTTATAGTATATCGCGGGATGGTTCTTTGAGCTGCACCTAGGCATACTTTTTGGAGGGGGCCTACAACGAGGATCCGACAATTTTTGGCTAGGACTATGAGCCCGATTACCCTACTGGTTCTTAGCAGGGAATAAGGGAATTTATGGGTTTAGAGTTTAGGGTAGGAAATAAGGGCTTAGATTATCTAGAGAAATACCTTCTAAGAACCAGTAAGTGAGGGAGAAAGACGCGTTTTTGCATCTGGGGACCCAAGCAAGAGGAATAGGGTTTTGAAACCTGCTCCTGCTCTACAAATGAAGGGCAGTCTTCGGCACTTTTTACACTTGCCCCTCACACACATGCAACCAGAGTGGCCCCTACAAAGACTATTTTACCTTTTAAGAAGGCCATATCGGGTCCCATGGTAGTTTGGGGCAGGGTACTGTGCTTCCTGTCTCGGCTGAAGTTTAGGGTTCATGGGCACTGTGGAAAGTTTTCATGCTAGCTTTTCAAGGGTTTTATCTTACGCGGTTTAGGGTTTTGGGGTTTACGGGTTTTCAGGGGAAAGGCGGCCTGCGACAGTCAAATCTCGAGCCTAGATCCAACCTGCAACTAAACGCTGTGCGAGAATCTACAACCTGGAGCCCCTTAAACTCCAGCTTGCCAAGCTAAACATAAATCCTAAAAGCCTTCAAAACCCTAAACCCTAAACCCTGATATTGAAACATGAGCACCACCAAAGCCCTCATCAAAGTCCTGCCTAAATCTCACCTCAGGGTGGAGCCCATGGACACTGCTAGTGCCCGGGTGAGCTGACGCGAGAGTTCCTGACCACAGGTGGACGGTCTCGGGAAACCCAAAGCAAAAACCCAAAAGTTCTAAGATCTTTGGCAGCATGGATAATGGTTACGTCTAAGCTGGCACAGCTTCTTGCCCGCAGTGCAGGCTTGATATTACCCAACAGCGGCAAAAGAGTCGCTGCTGCTGAATCGGTTTATCTGGCTACAGACTAAAGCCTGCATGACCTTCTTGTGTGCAATAGTAACATACTTCGTAGGGCTTGGAGATACACGGTTATGCAGAATTTGTCCATCAACCGAGGTCCCCGAAACAGGGACCATGCTTCGCAAGTAGCAGGCCCCAACCATATGTCTGAGCTAAACAGCCAGAATTCTGACGCTGAAGCGCCAGCCAGATTCCCAGCCCAAATGAGTAGCGTGTTTTTTGGTGGTTGAACCTAGTAAGATTATATTCCTTATATAGAACACTATACGCCAAAGGGAGGATAGAATCTTACTCTATAATAAGTACCATCGTATCCACAAATAAAATCCCCAAAGCGCAAATTGTCTTTTCTCAAAATGAGGAGGGGGGTACACTTAGAAACCCTGCGCAGCAAGTGATGTTATAAGGAGTTGTTTGTAAGGTCCCCTTTAATGGATTCTACGCGGGTTCTTTCCTTCTCTAACCCCTAAATCCCAACCGCTCCATCCTACACCGCTGATGAAGCCATAGAGACTCTTGCAAGCAAACTCCCGAACGTCCTCCATTTCGTTGAGCCTCCATGTTGCTGCACGCTTTCAAAGGTTTATTAGGGTTTTGGATTCAGGGTCAATGGAGGTTGGGGGTTGAAAGCTGTAGAGCTAAGGGGCGTGGAATTCAGATTGTGACTTGAAGGGTAGGGGTTATAGGGTTCTAAGGTGAATGAGTTCAGAGTTCACCTTTATATATTCTCCCTTGACGACACGGAGCCTCATCTGAAACTCGTACTGAAACTCAGCTACACGCACTAGGTTTGCGGGTTGAAGGCTCCGAAGCCTAGTGCAAATCTGTATCAAAACCCTTGACCCTGAACAACACTTGTATACTGTTAGTGGACTTGGAATTGCATGAGGGAAGGTGTTCTCCAACGCGCTACCATAGGGAATCCCATGTTTCACGTCAGCCAGTGTATTCCCCGGAGAAACAAAATACTGACAATAGCTCATTACCCAGGCGAGCTTCTGCCAGGATCTTCTAGGAGTCAGGATTTCAGGCTTTCTCAAGATGATAACTATCGAAGCATAATGAGGGCAGGCACAAATCCCCTATGATCCCTGCACATGCTGAAGCTCCCAAAAGGCCAGCCTCTTTTGATAAACTTCTAGGCTCACGCCTGCTATGCGCAACTGCTTTCAGAGCTTTGGGGAGGGTTTAGGGGACCATGGGGGATGCTATTTATAATATGCTTTCAAGGTTTAAGGGATTATAAGCACATGACACATATCACAGCGCTTAATTCGAGTCTCGTTTGTCAAAATGGGTTCCGCTGGGCCCTGGGGATACCTCAGCATTGTAGGGAGATTGTTCGGGCGCGGTAGATTTAATGAATCGCTGCAATCTTGGTAGGGAAGCCCTGCAGCGCAATCCCTACACCCTGAAACCTGAATACAAATTCCTAAGCCCTCATCCCGGCACCCCAGGCCTACACCCACATGAGTGAATCCCAATCTCCATCATTAATCCTCAAGCCCCCAGCCCCTAAACCCTGATCTTTCTGCTGGTTCATAGGCATTAGAAACATAGCTTACAAGGACCAAATAGGACCATTAATTACATTGAAAAACTCTGTTTGGACTGCTCTGGGGTCCTTCACTATGACAAGTAGTAGGTGACATCTATCTTCGAACCCTACGGCCAGCTTGAGGTCAGGACCAGGAAATCACCAGCGGCCGCAGCGACGTTGGCTGCTCGGGCCAGAGGTTGGGCCCTGGAGAGGATTTTCGTAAGGTTTGGGGGTTAGGGATATGGATTTGAGGGTGTAAGGGGATAGGAACTATGTAGGGATTACATGGAGTTTGCTCTAGGTTAAGAGGGTTGCATGAATAGAACGGAAGGATCGAATGGAAGTTGTTACTTACATGGGTAATTATTTGGGGATAGAAGTCATGTTGGCCTTGTGGCTGTTCTCGTCCAAACCGTATGTGCTGTAGGTGACCACGCACAAGCAATGGTATCGACCTGAAGCATTTGCATTTCTCCATGTACACTGCCACAAGTATAAGCTGAGAGCGATACACAGCATGATGCTACGGAACAACGGTTGAAACGCGGTGATCGGGCTGCGTAAGAGCTACAGTCAATAGGACAATTCAGGGCTGAGCAGGATTAAGACTAGGGTTTTAGGGTTTGGGGTGTGAAGCTTGTAGGGTCATGCCAATCAACACACAAAAAAAGGAAGATACAACGTAACATCTCAGCACTCACACAATACATAAATCATAACCAATTCACACACACACACACACCCTTTCTTTTCAGCTTCGCCTAAGACCGTAGAGATTCAAAACATCCAGCCCTGAACTGCACACGGCTCGAAACGCCGGAAATGAAGCAAGGGGGTTTAGGGTTGAGGGCTTGGGGTTTAGGGTTTGGGTATTGGGATCGCTTTGGGAGTTCTCCTGCGCTGGCTGTGGGGTTTGCTGTAAGGATCCATGTCTTACTACTACCCTTAGTCTTAAGCCCGGTAGAAGCTTCCATGATCTTTCCAAAGCTTTCACCCAGGAATCAGTATCGTTGTCTTTTCCATTATGCCTGAAACCTTTCCTATATTATCCCTATGTAGGTACTCCGAGAAAATCCCATATATACATATATATACTGTCGTAACCCATCCCTATATGATCCCTACGTTTTCCTAGATAGCCCCCATATACTATAGGTATAAGTATATGTACACTCCATAAAGCCTCTATTCCCTAATAGCATTTGGCAAAGACAGAGCCTCTGAGGCGATTGTACAGGCTGCTGGGATCCTGGTCATGTGGATGTTTTTCCTAAAGGCCAGGGTTTTGGGTTTGGGTTTTAAGGATTAGAGTATAGTGTTCTGGATTTAGGGTTCAAGGTTCAGTGGAAAAAGAAGAACTATAGGGATCCTGATCCTGGCTTCTAGGTCTCTCACACAAGGTGTGGGAAACTGAGATTGGCTTTCTGCGTGTGTGCGACATCTTTCGCCCCAGGGAGTGCCTACACAAACTCTCAGATTGGCAGGTTTTGATCGTCCTAGCACGGCATCAAAAGTCTCGCGTCTGAAGTCAACACATGAGCACGCCCCAAAGAATTTCGCACTTGGAAAAGTTTCAAGTAGATCAGCACAGTGCTTCCAAAAACAGCAGGGATACATTACAACATGTCATATCACCTCTGAGAGTTGCCGAAGTAGAAGCCCATTACGGGTCGGGCATTCGAGGTGGGTAGTCTGCATAGGGCTCCCATGAGGGCTCCCCAAGGCCCTATGCCTTAGTGAGTTTTATAGAAGCCCCATCGCCCCATGAGCGATTACTCATGAACTACCCACTTGTCGTGCGAGTGTATGGAGGGTTCTCACTGGTTCATGTTATTCTGTGGCCCAGGGCCACGGAATGGGACAGCACGACATAGAGTCACTGCATTACAGCAGGGGGGGTATGAAGACCGGCCGAAAAGGCACTCCAATGTCTCGCCTAACTCCTCAAATCAAAGGTCGGCCTCTCGTCCAGCTGTTGGGCGAGCCTCCTGCCAGGAGCCAGGAGTCTGGACTCAAGCATTGCTATCTCAAAGTCTGCAACTGTGACAGAACCGGCTCCAACTTCCAAGATGACGCCACAATTTAGATAAGTTGCTTCCCCTAAAAGTCCAGGGACCCAAATAATAGGGATTTAGGGCCGAAATACCATTGACGTTATAGTATTTGGGCCCTCAAACCCTATTATTTGGGTCCTTGGACCCTTGGGGTTCCGCATATCCCGACAACAACGTCTCCCAACTACAGTTGGTAAACTGACTCGAACCACTCAATGGATGGGTTCTGCGCAAAAGGTCGGTATGGCCGGGTGCCCATTGGGCTCAGGGCGGCGGGCTCCCTGCATCTGCACTTGCTTGGCAGTCTTCCAAAACAAGGTCGATAAGATGGATCCAGGTAGCTGCAAGGCTCTTGTCAGTGACGGCATTTGGTTGTTTCCTAGATTAGGGTACCCCAATATACTAAGGCTCCATGTAGATACCATTCATAAGCTTGAGGGCCCAATGTGAGCCATAGATAGCCAGAGTCTAAACTCCCTATCCCCCTAATGACCCCTATAGTAGTCTCTATATAAACCCTTGATAACCCCCTTTAAGGAGTTTTGACTATAGCTCATGTACTTAGTCCCCCAGGGTAAGTTCATCTTGCAACTCTGACCTTCGGATACCTTCCAAGTCTGAGTTGTTCCTTATCAGACGTCCCATGCCCTGGCAGGCCACGGAAGATAATGTAGAACCGTGATTATTAATAAACCACCTCCTTTTAAGGGCCTTAATATTCGGATCCCTAGTATAGTCCCTATGAAAGGGAGGGGGCTTAGGGTCTACATTACCTCTTTCCAGCTCCCCGGGCCTCGCGTCCAAACTCAATCTGCTCCCGCCTCGCGAGGTTGTAGGGTTTAGGTTTTATGGTGTAGGGTATAGGGTTCAGGACTTGGGGTTTAGGGCTAATTTTTGAACATGGCAATTTTCATAAGTAGGCAGCCCCCATATAAACCAATAAACTAGAATCCTCATCATGGGGACCCCCCCGAAAACGTACCCTTAATTTTGGGAAAAGGCAGCAAGAGGCAAAGGCAAAACATCTGCGAATACAAGCCAGCTACAAGGGGACTCAAGGTCTATTGCCCCTGAGCCAGAAACACGGCGTCGAGGTGCTGCTTTTTTCCACACTTCCACAGAGACACACATGGGAATGATCTCAAAAACTGCTATTCAAAGCTGGAGCTTCACACCCTGCCAGGCTCTGTAGAAAAACCAGGAACTAGTTCCAGGCTTGTCTCCAACATACCCTGCGCAAGAACACTTATAGATCCTGCCAACGTAGGCTCCAAACTCGTCCACGTGCCCGGCCGTGTTCTCTGCACCCTGTCTGGCAGATCAGCTGAGGGAATGTCAGCTTCGGATGTCGGGAATGGCCACACGAAGTTAAGCTTTCCAGGGTTCAGTGCGAGGCTTCAGCTTTGAATATTTCTCCGGTTTTGGCCTAGAGTTCGGGACAAGTAGTCTTTCGCTTGAGTTACGGCCTTGGCTTTGTAATCAAAGGTCTCCGCTTTCAGACGTTACTACGTCAGCGTTTCGAGGAGCCTGTGTTGTGGTCTGGCTATGTGTAGTGCTTGCTTAGTTCTGCATTGTGATTCTAGTAGCTGGAAACTTCTGAACCCATCCTTACCCAAAAGGTCCATGTAGAGATCCAGTATATACTCATGGCCCAAAAACCACTATATGACTACTTCGGGTTTCAAGGATCCATTTAGACTATGGTTCCGATTTCTACACATCCGGGCATGAAAATAATCGAACAGGTACGTACTTTCTACCACCTCCGCGGGACACAACGTCAGGCCGCGCTTTAAACATCCGGAGCTTCCAGCCAAGAACCCCTTCAGCCAAGGTATGTACCCAGCGAATCCGCCCGGCCAAGTTCCAGTCAAACCCCTCCAGCCAACCTGCAAGCACCTCCAGCCTCCCCGCCGCTTGGCTGGAGGAGTGGGTTGGAGGTTGGGTGGTTCGCAGGTTGGCCGAAGGGTTGGTTGCAGAGTTTGGCTGGCTAGCTGGTAATTCTTTGGCTGGAGGGCTTGGCTCAACGGGGCCTTGGCTGGAGGAGGCCTTGGCTTGGCTCGCTTTAGAGTTGGTGCGGGTGGTTCGCTGCTGAAGTTTGGCTGGGGAAGGCTGGGGTGGCTGGAAGAGGGTTTGGCTGGAGGGCACTTTAGCGTGCAAACAAGAAAATATCCGGATTGAAACAGGTTATTGCACGGCCTCAAAAAATGTTACAGGCTGGCCCGCCCTCCACTCCTTTAAAAACTGTCGCCGTAGGTCATTGCCACCCGAGGTAACGCAATACCCTCGAAATAACACCCAGGACAATTATTGTGATGGGGAATGACCCGCCGTACAGATTCAAAACGGTAGAGGCCCTCATGCGCCACCCCCCCTGCCCCCCCGCACCCACCTGTGCGAATTCCAAGGTTGTCTTTTGTAACTTGTGCCCTAGGGCTCCCAGTTACCTAAATAAAGGGAACTGGGTTCTATATATCCTATAGTTACATAGCCCAGTAACCTACCATTCAGGTAACTGGGAGCCTTAGGGTGTGGGGATGAATTCAGGCCAAAGCCGAGCCCCAACAAGTGATGTACGGAGGAGTTCGGCAATTTATGCAACGGTCTACCCAGACCCTCCTATGTAGTTCCTTTGTGGGTAGTATATTATAAAACCTTACCAAAAAACATAGCAGACCCAAAAAGGAACTACATTGGGGCCCTTGGGTAGTTCCTCATTGAAATAAGATTGCAAACCATCACTACATATATTCCTCGTTGGGCTTCCATATCAATTAAAGGTCGCAAAGACAAATGATACAAAACAACACGAATTGTACCCAACAATGATCCGAGACAAGGCGTGCCTTGCAAATCCTGTGAAGAATGATCCAGGTGAGGTTTCGGCATGGATGCTCTGGGAAGTGGGCCCTGGCGAACATGGACTCAGCCTGTGTGGGCATGTGCAATTTTTATGTTTAGATTCTTAGGTTCTATCGAGTCTCTGGAAGATGGAGAGGGAATGGACTCGTAGGGCTTTCAGGCATAATTTAGTGTGCATATACACCTGGACATAGACAGCAAGTCGATTGCCAAAGTGTTTGGTGGCAACAGTAATGTTGGCCCGTTCAGGCGAAGGAAGGACAAATGCATATAGGCACTACAACCCCTCGGACACTCCCTGGAGCTCCAAATAGCCCAATTTAGGGACTATTTGCAGGCATTGGAGCCGAATGTAAGTATCTTTATAGACAGGGACGGATCCTCTAAAATTGTTGTGCAGTCCTTAGGCTGTGTCAGATGAGGAGCGCTCAACGGCGCCCGTTGCCAAAACCCTGGGCCTGCCTGGCGCATGAAGCCACGAAACTCTGGGGACAGATGGTAATCCACCCGCTCCTGTTGCGCAGAAGCCGAGACATGTAGTCTAAACTCCGAGTATCACCCTTAGTAAGCCGTATAGTACTCCCCTGCATAACCCCATTGAAGGAGTTTAGACTATAGCTCGCATGAACTGGCTGTAGGAGCAAATTTACAACAAATGACCGATTGCTACGACGGGATTACGTAGACCCTACAAGTAGCTACTCTGGTGGCAATGACCTCCGTGTGATCTCACGCAGTGAAACGTAGCCAGAAACAATTTTACAAGTCACGTAACAAAACTAAACCCTAACCCCCTGCGATTTCCTCAACCCGAAACCCTACACCTAAACCTCCCTTACGATCGATTCTTGTCTGGGTGTCTACCCTGGGGATCGTTTTGGGGGTATAGGGTTTGGGGTTACCGCAAACTTCAAGGGGTCCCTCAGAATGTACGCGTAAGAATTTTAAAGCTTTACGCGGATTCTGTAGGTTTGCGTTCTAAAGCACCCTAGTTCTTTCTGTGGTTCCTTCATAACCCTGCAGAGTAACCCTAAACCCTAAACCCTCCGCGATTCCTGCACCCCAAAAGGAACCCAAACACTAAATGCTGATCCGCCTTTTGAGAAAGCCTCATAATTACGCGCTGCGTTTTCTGCATGGCTGAAGCAAGTATGAGCAAATTCTGATTATATAGTACTACAGCCAGCAGGAGGCTATAATCTACGTCTATATTGGGCGCTATAATTTTCCCATCTAAGCTACTACTGAAAAAGATCTGCCTTCTTGGCCAACGGCAATGCAAAGAAGTCCCGGGCGCTCTGAAGCAGCTCCTACCGTGAAGTAAGGGGTGGAGCCATGACGAATTCATGCTCTTGGTTTGAATGTCCTTGCTGAGGGGCGCTAGCCTTAAGCCTTTGAGATTCATTGGTGGTGTTCATGTCTTCCAGCTCGAACACAAAGAATCTTGCTAAGCACCGGATGGGAGGAACCTGCCTTCTTGACAACATGACCTACAGTTTTAGGTTGCAGGGCAGATTTTCAGGCCTTGCCCATGACAATCATGCTTTAGGACGCTACATTCAAGGCGCCCTGAAATCTTGATTTCTGTCTCTACTTTAGGTGGGCTCACCGGAATTGTATGAATTCGCCCAAGTTTTAACTCAGCATTTATATGAATACGTACATACATACATACATACATGTATAATTACATGCATACACGAGAAGATTGGCAGACGTGCCCCGGCTACCAGTTGGACACTCAACATTGAGGAACAATATCTGCGGTCTCATCAACAGCAAAGTCACTACCAAAACGTGTGCAGGGGTCCCCAAAGAGGCCATATGTTTGACAACTTCTAGTGTGGCCCCAGACCCTAGATTAGACTCTAACCCCAAAGGCACCATGCAGCGATGTACGTAATATGTACTCGGGCCCTAAAGTAGGTACATGGCACATGGGAACAATTTATGCCCAAACTATATGCCATAGACCGACATGGACTTTTGGAACTTACCTGATGCAGCATGTTGATGTGGGGCGGCAACTGGGAAATCAGGAAGCAGCCGGCACCTGCACAACTTAGTTGTGCTTTAGGCAGTGGCTCCCTCTAATAGGTAATACGACCTGTAAACAGCCTGTAAGGGTATCTAGATTCACCAACTCCCCTTACTCACAGGCAAGACAATGACATTGACAAGGTAATCATGTGGTAATGTATCGGGCTTGTGGTTGCTCAGTGGGGGGGGGGGGGGGGCCGTTTGCTGGGAAAAGCATTGGCACTATATAGAAGCCTTCCGCAATTTGAGCAAACCGTTCGCTGACCTAGGAACAGCGCTTTGGGGCAGAAGCCGAGACCATACGCTAAGCAAAGGAAAGCTGCAAAGTCAAACAGCGGTAAGAATTGAGTCAGTAAGTTGGAGGTTCAGAGGAGAGCGCTTGTCTCCTGAGACGACTTTGCTTATCCATTTGTACACGCATATGCACATATCTACATCTTTGGAGAAGTACTGTGCTGCAACCACCACTATAATATCATGTCCATGTGTGGGCAGCAGGGTTCAGTACCGATCTTAGAACCACTTCGAGGGTCTAAGGCTGAGGGAGGAGCAAGCTCTATCAACTATAAAGTACACTTTCCACACAGACCTTATATGGAAAGATGCCCTTCCCAGTTGCATGTAGCGTGTATATGTATATATATATATATGTATGTTTATATATATATATGTATATATATATATATGCATATATATATATGTGTATATATATTTGTAAGTATATATGTATATGATCCATGCAGACCCTAGACAAGCCGTGGAAATTGCTTCGAACCTCCGCAACACTACAACACCAGACCATTAAATCCCTAGATCTTAAACACCCACACCCCAAACCACCCAAAAAGCCAAAGCCCTCATCCCGCTGGCCGCTTGAGCGGAATCCATGCCATTTTCTGCACATCCATGTTGCTTATATTCAGTTAATGTTCCTGAGCAAGCTAGCCAGACTCCAAAGCAGCTGAGAAGTGCTGAGCACCTCCTTCGCCCACCCGGCAGGCGGTGCCTCTGTGTGGTAAACTGCTAAAGTGAGAGGTTGAGAAGTTTGCGGTGTAATGGTTCTTTGCTGGAACAATCCCAAAGTACTTGCTTGACCTTCCTTCTTGAACTTCCACCTAACGAATATTGAAAGTCGCATTACCCTGAGGGTCCAAGTACCCAAATATTGAGGTTTCAGGTACCAAAAACCATTCAGATGATAGTATTTGGGACCTAAAACCCTACTATTCGGGTACTTGGACCCTTTAGGCTAACCAATGCCCTAGCGTAGAGGTTTCAACTCTGAAGGCTTAGCCAGTTGGGGAGTCTGGCTTCGGAGCATAGGGTTTAGAGACGCATTGGTTGGGCGGAGGGCCGGGCATATGAGTCCCCAGTATCAACAGGAAATTGTCAAATCATGTCTCAGAAGTACGCATTACATACCGCCTGACCCGGTAGAACTATGCTATCTGTCCCCGACAAAGAACCCATGAGCTTGCTCAACCCACAACTTAGTTTCTGTAGGTTTAGTGTTAAGGGTTTAGGCTTTATATTCCCCTTGGCAAACCAGACAAGACGCTTCAGAAGGAGACCACTACCAAAGTGATCCCTGCAGCCAACATTGAACTCCCTGCCCTAAGGGTCATTAATATTGTAGTGTTTGGGCCCTAAAGCCCTATCATTTTAGTCCTTGGTCCCTTACGGAAACATACCCCAAAGAAAACCTTACAAACATGATTCAGCAGTTCCCACCCTTGGCTGCGGAGTCGCCAGACTTGAAAAGGACATGTTCCCTCGCCCGGCTAAGCCTCTTCTAGGAATGTCCAACCGCATTCCTGTAGTCCTCTGCCCTGGCGTCCCTACAGGGCCTAACCACTCAGTTTCCAGGAGCGCCGAAGCAGAAGCCCCCCCCTCAGTGCTCAATACCTTTCAATGTCCCCACAGCGCCCAGCCATTCAAAACACATTCTAGACCAGAAATGGGAGTGGGAATGCTTGAAATAACATTGTCAAAGCTTAGGGGGTGGCTGCGTTGCCGTTTGTTTGTGGGGGAGGGACTGGATTACAAAGTACCCTTCAACTAGCCCAAGCCGTATATGCAAAAAATCTGAACCCTGAAGCACAAGCCCATATAAATTCCAAGCTTACCGGTTCTTCATGGGGAATGAATCCCAACAATAGCTCTCATGCAATCCCTAGAGTGCCCATATTCATCCACAATAGAGTGCCTCTTTTCATTCTTCTCATTTTGCCGTACCCTAGGACTCTAAGTCTATAGATAGTACCTACATTTGGCCCCAAAATGTATAAAAAACAGTACCTACATGGGGCCTTAGGGTTAAGAAGCAGACAGTAGACCGAGCCTGACCGAGCAATAAGGTTTCGAGGCGCAAATGCCATCTTTTTAATGGTATTTGGGACCTAAAGCCTTCTTATTTGGGTCCTTGCACCCTTAGACCGAGAGACTGAGTCAAAGTCAAGCCCTAAACCCTAAACGCTAAAGTCTTGAGGTTCGAACCAAGGCTTCTTGCAAAGCCCGGGAGGTCGCCGTAAAGTTGTCCATGCTCCAGCACAGGCCTCAGAAAGATGGGCTACATTACAAGAGTGTATGTATATATATATATAGTCCCCCTTAAGTAGATAGAATATGGGGTATTTGGGAATCTTATTATAATATACCCAAAGCCATATTCTATCTACTTAAGGGATGTATGTATTGGGGGCGGGGGTGTATATTTATAGAGGTTATGGAAATGGAAATGGAAACTACTGTAATGAGTAGAAAGGAGGGGTGGGTTTCTGATTCTTGGGAATTAGTATAGAAAAGAATCAACTGGAAAAGCAAGCGGAACATGACATTAAATGTGTTAAAACAAGGCTTAAAGGGACGTAGACCCTAAACCCTAAACCATTACACCAAAACGCTTTTTTGCGGTTTCAGTCGAACTGTTCCGCTATCCGACCCTGTAGGAGCTGGCCGATGAGGTTGCTCTTCTTCAGCCATCACACCCATCACCATAGGGGTTTAGGGATTTAGGGTTTGGGGTTTAGGGTTGTCAGAGCAAGACAAAGAAATCAACACAAGCCCGGCAAATTCATCCTGAAAAACCACAGTCTTTTTACTCGGTCAGGATATCACAAGCAATTGTGATATCCCAGCTTGCATGCAGAAATACTGTAATGGAACACTCTCATATTTGTTTGCGTATGTTTGATACTATGCGGAAAACGTTGCACTGCTTGAGGCCGAAGATTATGAGCACATTGCCAAACAAAGGCATGTGAACAATTCTCACAATGGGGTCTCCGTTCCCCATCCCAACCCTTTGTGCCCTAAATCCTAAACCATCCTAAACCCTAAAGTTTAGACTAAGACGGTGCTGTTCCAGGGTGGCCCTAGGCTGAAATGGGGGTTTCCCAAAATTAGGATACTTTTTTGGGGTCCCCATAATAGGGATTGTAAGATTTTGGGGTCTATGTTGGGGTCCCCTTATTTTGGGGTCTATATTGGGGTCCCCTTATTGTGGGAAACTACCGAATCTCCCCAGCTGAACGACCACAACTGTGGGTCGTCCAAGTAAAGAGCTCACAGAATCTGGGCCCTGCACAGCTCTGTGGTTGTGGAGAAACACCTGCCCAAACACGTCTTGATGGGAGTTTGCAATAATCTATGCAAATACATAACCCCTAGAGCAGTGATGCTAACCGCTGTACAGAAAGTCTGAACTTAGTTCATGCAGGAGGTCTTTGCACATTCAGCTATCGAACCTGCTAGTGGCTGCATGCTTGTGGCTTAGCTTGGCTGGCCAGTCGTGGCTACCTTGTGAGACGAAAGCACGTAGAAGCGCATGAAGGCCTGATACCATCGCCAGCTCAGGGCCATGTGGCAAAGGATCCCCTCCTGTAAGCTTCAATCCCTGCACCCTGCTCCATACAGCCTACTGTCCAAGCTCCAGCAGCAGGGACCAGTAATGTCGAGACACCGCACATTACCGACCTAAAGGGTCCAAGTACCCAAATCATAGGGTTTTAGGTCCCAAATACTATAATCTGAATGGTTTTTGGTACCTGAAACCCCCCAGATTTGGATACTGGGACCCTCAGGGTGAGACACTGGGAAGCCTGGAGTCGGGCCTCCGAAGCTGTCGTGTACTTGAACCTGGAGGGAAGAAAGTGAATCGTACTTGTGAGGGGTTTAGGATTTAGGGTTGAGGGTTTAGGGTTTAGGGGCGCAGATCTAGCGCATTAAGGGTTTGGTGTCTGATCATCAAAGATCTGGGAAAGCCTACTACTCGATGAGCTCCAAGAGTATTTACTGGGGCTCTACAATTGTGTAGAAATGGCCTCAAAAGCATGTACAGCTTCCCCAATTCTACTATCATGGCCAAAACCTCTCAAGATGGGTGGGGGGCCTTCGATGCCAATGCAGGCCCAAAACGAAGCAGCCCTTGAGAGTTAATCGCTGTGAACCTGCGCTGAAGTCCCACCTGGTACCGAAGAAAGAGTTGCCCCCCTGCAGTATTGGGTGATGGAGACTTAATAAGTAAGTAAGTATGTTAATAACCCTTAGAACCTATATAGTAACCCTAATTATCCCCATTATTACCCGACTTTCTAAGTCCCCTGACCCTCCAAGTAAGGGACTACAACTAGCTGGACGCAAGCCCAAAGTCCGGGTGAACCCATACTCTTGGTGGCCTGGGATGCATCTAAACCCTCGACCCCTAAACCCTATACCCTAAACTAATCTGCTAGTTTGTGTAGGCAGCCTGAACAGTGCTGTGGTTAAGCTACTAGAACCTATAGTCCCCCTTAAGTAAAAAGAATCTAGGGTTTAGGGTTTAGGGATGATAGTCCCCCTTAAGTAAATAGAATATGGCTTTGGGTATATAGTACTAAGATCCGCATATACCCCATATTCTATCTAGCTAAGGCGGACTATAGCTAGCTCTTCCCAATCCACACATTAAAGTCCACACAACAATTCTGTTCCTCTGACCTTGGCTAGGTTCCCCAGTAAGCCCTGAACAATAAGGTTTTTTTTTCCCACTGTTCTGCTTTAAAAAGGGGACCCCCAAACAAAAAGGGTAAAAGGGTACTACTGGGGTACCTGACCTTGGAGACATAGGTCTTAGTAAGCAGCTCCAGGCAAAGGAGATACCTGCCAAGACGATAAAATCCTGCGAAGGCTGAAGCCACGAATCTACAAGCCATCCCCTAGGGATCCATGTATACAAATAATACCTACATTGGGCCCTAAAGTCTGTAAATATTACCCACATTGGGCTATAGACTAAAGACTGGCTCTAAGGAGCCCCGGAACCCACCCCCCCCGTCTTAAACGCATGCCTGCTCGTGAAAGCTTGCGGAGCCACGGGAGACGCGACATGGCACACACTCTGTCAGAAAGAGGTCAGGGTGCAGCTTTGAGAACTAGGCCCTGAATCCTTAAGTGGGAGCCTGGCTTAGTTTTGAAGTTTAGTGCTTCAGGTTTAGGATGGAGGCCTGACGCATAAGATCTTGAGGAGCGGAATTGTCTTGAAGCAATCTGGCCGCCAAATTGAACAAGTAGTCACGAGAACAACCACATAGCTGTTTAGAGTTATGCAAATGAGTCTTGAGATTACAAGTGCAAGGCTTACAAGTTGTGAGGTGTCAGATGAAGGGTCTTGTCCGATCCAAGCCTGAGTAAACGATTGCCTTGTTTCAGGCGTCAGTGCGCAACTTCAGAGATGAGATCGAGCGGTCACTTTTGGGTGGTGAGTAGAATGGATACCCATGGTACCCCCATCTAAGTTTTATGAAAATCCCTATTACCCATGACTGTACGGGTGATGGTCCTATGACACAAGCTTGGAAAGAAAGCTGCGCCGCTGTTCCGAAGTTCCAAGGCAGGCAAGCAAACACGCATCAAGGATTTTTTCTTGGTCTTGATCGACATACATGAGCTAGAGTCTAAACTCCTTAAAGGGGGTTACATAGGGGATTCTATAATGACTGTTATGGGGTTATGAAGCTGGATACTAGGAGTTTAGACTATGGCTCGCCTGGGCAACGCAAAGTGCTTGGAAATGCAAAAGTCCGGAGTTCTAAGCTTAAAGTGCTCAGGCCAGAATTGCTCCCTCAGAGTTGTCCCAAAGTAGGAGTGCTCTACAGACACAATGTAAACAAGGAAACTAGATGGAAGCATGCCACAGGGTTCGCAGTCTTTGGAGCCCAGCCTATTTCTTCACATGTAGTGCTGTCCTCGTGCATTTCAAAAGTCGTCTATACAAGGAGACCAACTGCTGTTGGCTAGACACTTCAGCCCGCCAGAGGTCCAGTGAATTCTGTACGAATGGACTTCGTTTGCAGCTGGAGAACAAGATTTGTAATGACGTGGACAGAAGCCAAAAGCTAGGTCCCTTCTTTGGACGGCCCGGAGGTGTTCTTGGAGTGAACCATATCAGGCACTACCTTGTTGAAGGGACCCAATGGAAAGAGACATCCACATCCTGAGCACTAAGCTATGACACCTGACCCACCAAGCCCCTAGCAGGCCCAGTTTCCCATTCCACCGGGCAGCTCATGGGGGTCCTTGCCTGCGTCAGATTGATCGGTGCTGATGAGGGATAGAAGGGCTTACTTGGACGGTCAGGGGGGCTTAGTAAGTAGGTTTAATAACGCCTTCAACCTGCATCCACTTTCCTGCAAAATGACACGCGCCAGCACCAAGCAAATTTGTACAGCAGGATGCAAGCGTCAGAATCCTTTTGTAGCACGCGGCCTTGGGGAAATGGAACGCATGATTGTTACGGACTTTGATTCCGGGACGAATTTTTTGATATGTCGGAAGCAACACACCTGCAATGCCCATGAATACAACTGCTCCTAATCATAATGGCCTTCAGGGCAATGGAGGACAACTCCAGGCCGCAAGAATGACAGGTCAGTGCTGCTGGTGTCACACCGCACACCTTTGGTCATCCCACACCCCTAGAAGGGTTTTTAGACACTTACAGAGGTTGGGCGTTGAAATAGCTCTAAAAAGGTAATGTTTGTAGACGCTGGGGTCCAAAGTAGGCATCATATGTAGGCTTGGAACCCAACCGTTGAAAGCAAGAACCTTGCATGACATGGGTATACTCTACACCAACTTTTCCAAGGTATAGGGCGCTTAGGGACAGGCTTGCTAGTACTAGTATTCACTGCAGTGCAGGGGATGCAGCTTAAAAGCAGCTCTTCGACCAAGAGGCCACAAAACCAAAGGATGGGTTCTGACTTCTTTCCGGCACCCTTTGTGAGCCTAAAAAATATTTGAAGGTGGCACCTCTTATGAACTTTTGCTGATCAGAACCGAGGGTTTGGGGGTTGGAGTTTATACGGATTGAGGTGCGTTTCGGGTTTCGGCCTCAGTGATGCAGGAAGTTGACCACCAAGCTCCACTTTGCTTGAGAGAAGCAATTATCCGGCTTACGAGTCGGAATTCTGAACTTTGGACGCCTGCAAATCATGTCTGCCTGGAGCAGGTATATAGACGGGGGTGAAGGTACTTGTGTAGCTACACTCCGCGTAGAAGGAATCCGAAGCGTGACCCCACGTCGAGTACAGGCCATCCCCTCATAAGGCTTGGAACATCCAACCAGAAGCCTGAATTCTTATTGAGCACGCAACGGACAACAAAAAAATCCTGCTCCCCTGAGCATTAAACCCCAACCCTAGAAGACCCTGAACTGCCACGAATTCCCCAACTACTTGAAAGGCAAAGCAACCAAATGGACACATGATCCACGACCATCTGTGTTGCTGGTAAGAAACTTCGACGGAGTTACCATACCATATAGGGTTTAGGGTTCTGGGTTTCTCTAACATGAACTTCACTGAGGTTCCTCGAGCCCCTGCCCCGTGCTCCCCCGTAACATCACTCTCTTCACCTATAAGCTCAAATCTCTGGCTGGCCTTGCCAAATACGCAAGATACCCACCGCTTTTGGGGTTCGAGGCCAAGAGTATTCTTGGTATTTGGGAGGTCTAGCTGAATCCCCAAATGCCCAGGCGCTTAAGCTGCCCCAGTAGGAGCATCCCCACATACAGCTTCGGATTTCCGTGCAGTTGCCTTGGGCGCAAGACTGGATTGCTGTTAAGGAACTTGAGTGAGAGTCTTGTCATAAGGAAACCAGCTAGGCTTTAGGGTTTAAAGGTTTAGGGTTTAGGGTTCAAAGTTTACGGTTTAACTGGCCTTCGGTTAGCTAGGAATGGAGGAATGGATCCTTAGAGTATATAGTCCCTACATAGCCCATTGGGGTAGTTTCCATGTTCTTTTCCATTCATTCATTCATTCCCAGCTAACCAAAGGCCAGTTAACCATAATGTGGCCCTAGCAGCATCCAACCAGTGCTGGCTTCACGGGGCAGCGGACAAGAGCCTCGCAAGCCCAGGCAATTCCGCCTGCACTGGCACCCACCTGAATTCTGGGGTTATACAGCGACTATATAGGGTTATACAAGGAAAATGTCGGGTTATACGGGGAAGATATCGGGCCATACAGGGAGTACATGGGGATCATACAGGGATTATATAGGACTACCTGGAAACCAGCAGTACATGTAGCGCAATAGCCTTCTCATTTGATTGGGGCCATTATTTTCCCTCAGCACTCAAGGGGTGGGGATTCTGTGACAGATGTAGGAACTAATGAACAGTCCATACTGTCACTCACCAACACTATGGTCAAAAGCTGATCATATGGAGCTGTGCAGGGGGCATGCTTGGATTGTGCGTGAGGATTCCGGATGTTTGGGAAGTGCGAACTTGGAAGTCCTCAAACCAGGGATGGGGGATGAGGATTCAAGACCTGATGGAGGGATATATATAGGGATTATATTGGGATACTGGAAAAGAAAATGGAAACTAGTATAATACATTGGGGTAATATTAGGGGTCTAGTAGGGTCATATTAAGGGCTGTGGCAGGTGCTGGCGGAATTTGACATCCCGCCGCCCATGGAAGAAGTACCGCGGCCACACACAAGCTTTGGTCTTACGAGCTTACACAGCTCAAGTCTTGATGAAGAAGCCGTTGAGATAGTTCCAGATCAAAGCTCGGCAGCTGAATTTTCGGAATGCGTTACCTCTGAGAAGGGAAAATGAACGAAGGCTCCTGAGTCAAACCTGATGAGCTTGGGCACATGCACACATGTTCTTACGACTTCTAATCACATACATCTTCTCCATCCCCCTCTTAATTATCCTGGCAATCATAACTGTCATCATCGTCAGTTGCCTACAGTTCCCCTGACTCTGAGACCCTGAACCGTGTGGGCAAATTTTGCAGAGGCCCGCCACCCTGTGAAGTTGCTGATGTTCTTGGCAAACTAACTGCGAGGCGTTGACCGGGGTGGGGTTGACGCACTGATAGTGGCACTTCCCATGCTCGCACCTCGGCTGCTTTAGGGCTTACATGAGGGCTGTTGGGGGATCCCCTAGAACTTGGGCCCAAAAACAAGGACTATAAATTGTAGGGGTGTATATTGGGGCCACGTGTTCACGGAAACCTCAGGGGGAGTTGCTGAAAAGTGGGGCCTTTGTATTCCCATCAACAGGACCATGTTCATGCTGACGTCTAAGTGAAGGACCAACAGCCATTTACGATGAACCTCCATGTATGCAGAAAGACAGTACCCTAGTTGATTCCTATATGTCCTAAAAATCTGGGAACCCCCTCTACTCCCTAATCCCTAAGCCTGTTATGCATCCCTACCTAACCCTCTGTATCCTTACCTTGTTCTTATCGCTGAGGCACTTAGTAGCATTGGGAGTCGAACCTCCAAAGCAGCCGAGGACCTGCACCTGGTTCATTGAAGTTTTGGTTAGCTGCAAATGAAGGAAAGGAAGCTACTATAGGCTTGGGTTTGGGGTTTAGGGTTTGAGGTTCAGTGTTTAGGGTTTAGAAGGAATGGACAAGAAAATGGAAACCTAGGTGTATGGTCTAGGAGGAATGAAAAAATGGAAATTACTATAATGGGTTATAGTATTGGGAGTGGTATAAGGATCCGTTTCTTCATTCCTAGCAAACCAAAGGTAGTTCATTGGAGGTTTGGACTTGGTGCTTGCGATTTAGAGGTTTAGGCTTCTTTTGAGTTTAGGGTTTGCAGCTCAGGGTTTTAGGGGTTAGGCTTTAGAGTCTAGAGTTTACAGCTGAGGGTTTAGGGTGTAGGCTTTAGAGTTTAAGAAGGCTTACAGCTGAGGGTTTAGGGTTCAGAGTTTAGCGTTCAGGGTTGGAGTTGGTCGTGCAGGGTTTAGGGTTCAGAGTCTAGGACTTGGGTTCAGGGTGTTGGGCTTGGGGTTTCAGGCCTGTGGCGTTTTAGGGTTTAGGTTCGTCTGAAATTGGGCTTTAGAGTTCAGGCTTGGAA